TCTCTCTCTCTCTCTCTCTCTTTCTCTCTCTCTCTCCCTCCCCATCTCTCGCTCTCCCTCTTCACCCTCCCTTTTTCTCTCTCTCTCTCTCTTCCTCCTTATCTATCTATCTATGGTGACGAACCACTGTATGTTCTAAGGGAGATAATGTCATCATGTTAAATTACAACGCGATTGTCAATGTTATGAAGGATAATATGCACATGTAGTATGTAGTGTGTATTCTCAACTTTTGTCTGTCTGTTCCTCGGCATGAAGAAAAAAATTGCAACGAATGATAATATAACGAAGTAATGGAGAGGAAATGAGAGAAACAAGTTTGCATACAAACAGCAATGTGTAGCCCAGTTATTAAAAACGTTTAAGTTTATCTGTTATTTAGCATGAGAGAAAAGAAAAGAAAATATAGAGGAATAAACTGACAGAGAGGAAATTAGAGAAAAATATTATTAGTTTGTTTAGAAGCGTAAAGACACGAGAGAGAAGTCCAGGGAAAAAAAATAGAACGCAACACAGTGGCGACCGTCAATGACGTCGTGCTGGTCCTCTGTGTCGGTGTGGACTTTTCTTTCAGAATTTCAATTCTTATTAATTTTAAAAAGTGCTACAAGACCGCGCGGGCGGTTGGAGCGCGCCATTGGTTGGGCTTATTTCCCCTTCCCCTTTCCCCCACAATGTTTCTGTCAGTATCAGTCTGTCTCGCTTTTTCCCCAGAACTAAGTGTACTAAATTGGGCCCGAAGAAAAAACCTTCCAACCACTGTGGAAAAAAACGCAAACTGAAATGGTTGGGCACATAACAAGATCAACAGGACTTGCAAAGATGATCTTGTAAGAGACTAGGGCTAGGTGAGTGAGTACCCGTTACCCGGGTAGTTACCCAAGTACCCGTGTTTCCCGGATAAAGAGCTCAAAACCGGGTACCCGGGTTTTCTGCTTCTGTCGTCAATGCTATGAAAATTCACTGAAATCACACCCCTTCGTTCGAACCTTAATAAGTACTGAGTACTTATCGATACTGAACTCTCTTAGTCGATAAAGTACTCAATATTGGCCTATATCGACTAATGCCCACCACTACTCGTACCGCCCTCCTTTCCCTGGAAAACAGCACACCACAAAAAGGCCACATTTGGGCATGTTAATTGTTATAAGAAAGTTTCCAAGAATCGATCGGATACTTTGGTAAGGCTAGGCCTATAGTTCCAATTTCAATATCCTTATATTATATGGAAGCAACTAGTTTGCAGTTCTAAGAAACCAACAGAGAAGCGGAAAATTTCCAAGAATTATATGAAGTAAAAGGGTTTCATTAGCTTTGGCTTTGTCACTCTTGCACAATTTCTATCAAGATGTTTCAAAGAAAGTCATACGTTTGGGATTACTTTGAGAAAATAAAAGACGAAAAAAGCGCCTCCTGCAACATTTGCAAAAGCATAATAAAAGTTGACGGGTCTTCAGCTTCAGGCCTCTTAAAGCATTTGAAGTGAAAATACCCAAATGAAATCGCAAGCAGGCTGAGCAGTACAGAAACACCATATTGAAATGTCGGGTACCCGCCGACGGGTACTCGAGTATTTTTTTCATTACCCGGGTATCAAATTACCCGTATAATTCCAGTCCTATAAAACACCTGTACAAGGAGGGAGAAGGAAATGGAGACAGAAAAAGAGATGGGAAGACAACATAACGGAATGGACTGGTTTTAAGTTGGGTGAAGCCCTTCGAAAGGCTGAAAATAGAGAAGGGTGGAGACAGGCAGAAAAATTAAAAAGTAAGAGCAGCTATCGGCACTGAGTCCTGCCTGCATTACATAGAAAGACTGAGAATAAAATGGTTTGGCCACATATTGTTACGAATTTCACCTGGCCAGCCAGCCCCGAGAGCCTACAACACCAAGCACCCAGGCTATAAAAGAAGAGGAAGGCCACGCAAAAGGTGGATCGAGAGCGTCAAGGAAACTCTAGGAAAACATAATAATTAATATCAAAACTGAAAGAGCTGTGGAAATGGTCTACCTTTGAAAACTGCATCTACCCTCGACGCGTAACGGCAACAGAGGATGAAAACGTAAAAGTAAGTAGGAGAAAAGTGGTTGCCCGATCATCCTTGGTGCCCAAATGGTAATTTAGAGCAAGTCAGTCAGTCAGCCCGTCAGTCAGTCAGTCAGTCAGTCAGTCAGTCACTTTCTCGACAGGAGTGACGTACAGTCGCAGGTATTGTCTCCCGAGACAGAAGCAGCCGACGACGACGAAGTCAATCAGTTAGTCAGTGAGTGAGTGAGTGAGTGAGTGAGTGAGTGAGTGAGTGAGCGAGTGAGTGAGCGTGTGAGTGAGTGAGTGAGTGAGTGAGT